CAAGTTTTTTTTATGTTTCAGCTGTTCGATCGCGCCGGCACCTCAAGCGCACACACCCCACATATTCTAGCAATTCAAGCTTACGTCGCAGTCTGTTCATTATCAAAATAAAATACAGCCAACCAAACATATAAAAGTTTACACTGGTGAGTTTAAATAGACCGTAGTATACCGGTCCACTCTGCTGTTATGCCAAGGACGTTTTTGCTCGTGTGAAGAGGATGATCTTTTCCGTCTATATGCGAATGCGTGTAAAGTATACAAGCCTAGTTTACATTATAAATAATAGTTTAACATTCAAATACATTGCGAATATGTTGCTTGAAAAAGACACATTTCATTATGTATTTTCAAATGCCTATGTTTAATTCCCTTAATTATAACATATCTAGCGCTATTTTTAAACGTTTAGTCAAACAATAATATATTATCTTATGTGTCTATCAGGGCTTAAAATTAATTGGTTTTAAGTAAAATCGATAGGCTTTTTTTCCCTGTTACATTTCCCGAGTTATAGGTTAGAACTAGGGATGTCAAAGATTAATCGATGATCGATTAATTGTCGATAAGAGATGAAATCGATTAAAGCTATTGATGGTCGATTAAGTCGTTTAATTTTGGGCTGCGTGCAGCTCATGCGCAAAACACGTGCGAGCGGTTGTGAGTGACGGTATATAAATGCATCATCATTCACTCATAATTACAAATTAAGCTTTTAATGTGATTTAAACTTTAATATCAATTTGTGGCCTCTGTCCATGTTTCATTCATTTTGTTCCTTAACCCATGATTTAACTAAAATGAGGGAACAAATTAATACATCGAACGAATTCTTAATTCACGGCCATGAATGAAATCTTTAATTTCCCTTCCTGCATGTTTACCACAGTAAGAGTTGCGAAAACAGTGATTAAAAGTGAATGACAATAAAATAAACCTGCGAAATTAGAGGGTTAGACGGTGAGGATTTAGGAAAAGAAACAATGCCTAAATATTATTGAATTTGTG